GACCCCATTAGGTTGGTTCAGTCCTGGTGAGACGTTTACGTGCGTGTGTGACTTGTTAGCTGCTTTTTTAAAAGAGTTTCAAAGAAACGAGCACGCTCTGTGGAGGAAAGCGAAAGTTGGAGAAAGCGAAAGTAACTTTTGTTTATCGCTGTGTGACGTCACACTTTGCCCCCCCCCCCCCCCCCAGGTTGCGCAAAAAGGGGGCCCCCCCCCCCCCCCCCTGCTAGGCCTGTGCGTGGACGCGTGCGTGACGCGGGCCGTGCGCGTGCTCCAGCTGTCCCCGCTCCTGCTGCCCCACCCGCTCCTCGCGCTGTGGGGGGGCGCGCTGGCCCGCGCATGCGCGCTGGGCCTGGTCCCGTGGGGGGGGCGGGTCGGCTGGGAGAGCCTGGCCGTCCTCTGCCTGCACTACCCGGCCTACAGCAGCCTGCTGTGGGCCATGGGCCGGCCCATTATGGAGCAGCTGTGGGGGTGGCACTCCTGGGAGAGGGTAAGTGGGGGGGGGGGGGAAAAGGGGGGGCTTTTACTGCCTATTAGTTTAGGTTAGAGCAGTGTTTTTCAACCACTGTGCCTCGGTACACTAGTGTGCCGCGAGTGATGGTCAGGTGTGCCGTAGAAAATCATCCTATTTCACCTAATTGGTCTAAAAAGATTTTTAGATAGTATAATATTTCATATAATATTCCATTTTTGAGTGCCTGTGCTGTACTAGTGACTGGTGGCGTAATCATGTAATAATTCCTTATGACTAGATTTTGTATATTGAAGTGGACATGTTAAGTGCAATTTGATAGAAGAAATAGAAAATATGATAAAAATATATTTTTGTGTTTATTTGATTCCTATTCAAGACAATAAAATAAGAATAACTATAGTGTTACTATAGGCAGCTACAGATTTGTTGTTTGGTTGGTGGTGTGCCTCGAGATTTTTTTAATGAAAAAATGTACCTTGGCTCAAAAAAGGTTGAAAAACACTGGGTTAGGGGACCCAATGTCCCACCGGGAGCCTCTGTCTGCAGCCTGTAGGAGCCTCGGTTGGATGTCCAACTCCTCCCACATCCAAAGCGGCCATTTTTTGCCTGGGATCTTCCTATTGGTGATATAATCAAAATGGCCGACTTGGATGTGGGTAGAGTTGGATATCCATCCTTGGCTTCCTGCAGTCTGGGCTGATTTGCAAGAAATGTGACATCAGTGATCGCCCATCCTGTAAAAACGGCGCCTGGCGGGCGTCCCCGTGGTAACGGCGTGCGTTCCCGTGGCAACGGCGTGCGTCTCCGTGGTAACGCCTCCTGTTCTATTAGCTGTTCCAGGGCTACGCCGTGACGGCGGTGGCCCGGCTCTACTGGAACCGAGCAGCTGCCTGGATGACCAAGGGGGCGGGGCCTCCGGGAAAGGGGGCGGGGCCTCTTGGGAAGGGGGCGGGGCCTGACCCGGCGGCCTCCCTGAAGCGGTTGCTAGGATACATGAGGCCGCACGCCGGGCGCTTCGCCGCCGTGCTGACGCTGGTCGTCCTCTCCTCCTACGGTAGGCCGGACCCTCCATTTTAGGGTCGTCACGATACTAAAATGTTCAACTGGATACGATACTCAGGAAAATATTCGATACTCGATACCATTTTAGATACCACAAGGATAAAAACAAAGACCCCGAAATGTAACTGAATTTTGACAGGTTAGTGTCTTTGGTTTCAAACTGACCTGTTACTGATGTTATCGTGGCCCACATTAATGACCCTAACCCTCCAGCCTTCATAATTCTGAGACATAAATATTTTTTGGTTTAACTTGTTTGGACTTATTGTACAAACCTATTTAACATCCACTATTTTAACATAATATTATTTATAGAGTTTAATTCAGTGTTTGCAAGATTATTTGGACTATTTCTAAATTAATGTCTATATTGTCATGAGCCAATTAGGATTTTCTTGCCTGGGATCTTCCTATTGGTTACGTAACCAAAATGGCCGACTTGGATGTGGTGGAGTTGGATATCCATCCTAGGCTTCCTGCAGTCTGCAGCCAGACGGACTTGATTAACGTTGGCGTGTTATTATTAGTTATTAGTGACAGTTATAAGTTACAGTTATTATTAGCCATTAGCCGCAGCTAACAATTCAAGGCTAACGTCACGTTAATGATCATAAACAATGTAAAAAAAATAAATAAATCAGAGAGGAGGGGGGGGGGTATCGACACTTTTGAAAATGAGTATCGTATCCAGATACAACGTTTTAGTATCAATACTTTTTTGAGTATCGATATTTTTGACAACCCCATCCCCCCCTAACTGTTCTTTCCCCCCCCCCCCCACGGTAACAGGGGAGATGGCCGTTCCTAAGTACACGGGTCACATGGCCGACTGGATAAACCAGGACGCCCCCGACGCCTTTTCTCAGGCCATCACCGTCATGACCCTGCTGACCGTTGCCAGGTAACCAGGACTCCCCACTTTTATTACTTTAAAAAAATTAAATGATTTTATTCCATAAAGTTGGTGCAAAGACTTTAAAGCTACAAGGTGTAGGAATTAAAGAAAACAGGACTTCCACATCATGGAGTTTTCTCTGGGTGATGAGGTTCGTAATTTAAAAGAAATTACAAACTTTAATTATTTAAAACTATTTAAAATAAAAAAAGAAAGGGAAGAAGTGGGTGGATTGGCTGTGTCTCATTTGCATTTAAAGAGACAGGCACTCCAAAGCGAGCGCTCTGAACGGGGCTGTTTTGGGTTAGGGTTAGGGTTAGGGTTAGGGTTAGGGTTAGGGTTAGGCAGGGGGACTGAACTGCTATTGGGCTTCATCCTTATGGGATTTTGACCAAAGCTTGTCACAGACATTACATTAGGAAAAAAAAAAGGAAAGGAAAAAAAAAAA